CCCTAAGAGACCCTAATCCTATTTTTACACTATAAATAAGAGGACCCATTGTCCATAAATCTTTGCACCAAAATCTATTTTCTCTCTAAATATTTATATATATATCTCTCTCTCTTTGGTAAATATAGGGGCATGCCCCAACCCTAAAAGCTCTCTCTCTAGACTATAGTAAGGGGCACACTCCATCTCTTGAACTATCTATCTCTCTCTCTCTAGTTTGACCTGAGGGGCTCGCCCCACCTAGATGATGTTGTCTCTCTCTCTGATCTTGCTTTAATGAACTTAAGCGTTGGGTAGTAGTAAGTAGATGCTATATTGTTTAAACTAGGTCTTATGAGTTTGTACCTAAGTTTAATTTTTGTGATCAAGAGGAGTTCATAGTTTCATTGGAGGGCTTGGCCTAAAACTTGTTTTCCTGGTTGATATTGAAAGTTGATCGTTGATCCCGCGCCATTGGATGGTGGTAACTAGGTGTTGGGTGTAATTGTTGGGTGAGTGTGGTCATTAAAGGCCTTACAAGTGCTTGTAAAATGAAATGATATAGCGGAACATGAATTCAGTGGAAGTGTGGTCACTCGTGGATCATACTAAGCAAACGATGTTTGCTGATACCGAACTGTGTTTGACAGTCTATGCCAGTCTGTTGAAAAAACCTATGTTACCTGGGCATAAAGTATAAACTGATAAGGGTTATAATGGGTCATTCATTGATGAGGTTGGAGTACGTCCGGATGAGTAAGTCCAAATGATTATGTGACCTTTGTGTGTGATGGTGGCTTTCAAAGACGGGGGCCAAAGCCTCATTCATGTACTATCACACGACATGCATATTAATAGACCATTTCGAGAAAGCAAGCCACTTTTCAGGGTGAAGCGTATGCATGTGTAAGAGATACCTATATGCGTCATAGGAGCTGTAGCCGCATCAGGTCTAGGTGACCTTGGCCCGTATCTAGGGGAGAACCTGAAATCCACAGACTGGGATTGCGACCCCTTGACTCATTAGCCAGACTTTGGTGACTCACTAATTAGCCTCTGCGTAGACTGTGGGTCATGATAAACGCTAGGTCGGTTTGATAAAGCAAGTGCGGTTCGTAGATCACATTTAAAGGTGGAGTGCCTTAGTGTTCGATTGATGATTCCTAGACCATATAGATCATTTTCCCATTTAATGAATTTAATTATAATTGATTATGATCTATATAATTTTAGAATTATTATTCAAATTTTTCTAGATATATGGATTTTTATTTATCAAATTTGGATTTATAAAATCAGAGATATTAATTTTACATTGATTTAAATATTCAAATAAATTCTAAAATTATTTTTTTAAGTTTTAAAAATATTTAAAATTGTATAGGGGACCCATTGTACACATGGGCCCACTATGGCCTAGATGATGAGGCCCATGAGATCCTCTCATGGTTGGCACGCCCTACCCATTTAGACGCTTTCTATTTTTGTGATAAATGATTTTAACTTGTAGGCCAAGTTGCTATGTGTTTTGAAAAGGTATTGGCTTGATGAAGCTTTGAATGAATTTTTAGAAAGCATGAGAAGAATTGTGCATTATTTTGATATGCACAATATTATATTTGGAATTATTTTATTTAATTTATATTGATAGGAAAATGGTTTAGGAAAATGAGATAAAAGTAATAGCACATTCCATAATGTTAATGGCCCATCTATGGAATAGATAGCTCAAGTCTCTCACCCCATAAGTTACCCAATATCAATTGTTCATATTCAATCTCACAAGAAGAGGCAAGCCAAGCAAAACCCTAAAAAACCCTAATCTTGTTCAAAGCCTATAAAATGGATTGTCACTATCCAAAATGTTTACACTTTATCTTTCTATCTCTCTCCTCAGAAAGTTTATCTCTCTCATGAAAGCCCAAAGGGGGCACGTCCTACTCTCTCATATTTGATCTCTCTATTGTAAAAAAGGGCTAAAGTTTAGGCTATGGGGTTCTTCTTTCTCCCATATCTCAACTATGGATTTATTGCTAAGGATATTAGGGTATAGCAAAAAGAGAATTCATCTCTCTCAAACTAGGTTGCTAAGGGAATTCACCTAGGGTTTGAGTTTGTGACCAAATGGGTCCATGTTCTATTGGTGTGGCTTGGCCTAAATTTGCTTTTTTGGTTGAGATTGAAGGTTGGATAGTGATGACTCGGTGTGAGGTTTAATAAGCCCGGTTGAGGTAATCTCCGACATTTTTATTTTGTTTCTTATCATATTTAATTATATTGTCTTTATATTCTTAAGCATAAGAATTGCGGATATTTTATTTGTTTAAAGAAAATTGGTTTAATGACATCAATATTATTAAGATATTGGATTTGTTAGTTTTATTTTTTTTAAGCAATAATTATTGTAATAAAACTACTTGTAAGTTATCTTTGCCAAAAAAAAAGAAAAGAAAAGAAAATAGGGTGAAAAAAAAAAAAAAAAAAAAAAAAAGTCCTCAATAAGATCGCATTTGTATTTATTTCAATAATAAGCCCCGTTAAGGAAATATCCGGTATTCTCTTTTATTTATTGTATATTTAATTATATTGTATTTACATTCCCAAATATCAAAAGTAGTGGTTATTTTCCTTTGTTTAAAGAAAAATTGGTTTACTCGCATCAAAGTTTTAAGATCTTAGCTTTTGTTGGTTTTATTTCCTTTGAAGCAAGAGAGAAGAAATAATATTTTTAAAATAGATAATAGAAAAATACAATAACTTATATTTAAAGATGAATGTGTTTGTTCATCTTTACAAAATGAGAAGAATACAAAAAAAAATAATACAAAAGCAGATAACGAAAAACGTGAATACAAAAAAGAAAATTATTACAACTTATCTTTTAGTTCAGCCTCCTTGTATATAATATAATTTATATCTAGCGCATAAAGAGTGCCATCTAGTAAAGGGAAGCTCGTCTTATATGTGATGCTAATACTTACCATTGAATTTTTTTGCCATCTATTCTCTAACAATGCTTAGATGTTTGTGTAGTTGGGTAGCTAAAAAAAAAAAAAAATAATGAAGAAAAAAAGAAAAAAAAAGAAAAGAAAGAGTAAAGTGTAAAGCTCAAAAAGTGGATATATTCTTCTCTTTCTTGAGGTTCCTTTCCTCTTCCTTTTGCTGTATTTTAGCTTTGCCTTTTGAGAGCATTGACAAAAAAACAAACAATAAATTGAAAATATAACAGATTGGGAAAGGCCTCCGATATCTATAAACCACAAAGGGAGGTAGCATAATTGAGAAGGAAAGGGGATTACTTTTTGTTCATGGATTCAGTGGAAAGGGAGGGTTCATTAGTGTTGACATTGAAATCCCTGCAACTCCTTATGCTGTATTTTCCGCAACATCTTCTCCCATCAACCCTCTCACTCTTGTCGACAACAGGAAAGAAAGCAGCTAAGAACAAAAGAGATCCTGACGCTAAACACAACTAAAAAAGAAACATTTTAATGCTAGCATCATATCAACCTATTTTGTTAATAATTGTGCATGCCAACCCTTGTAGCTCCTTTGTGCATACTTTTATTCGAATATTTGTGAATATATTTATTTCCTAGAATCTCTCTCATTTAAAACTAACGCATGTGAGAGAAAGTAAGAATACCCATCCTAGAAACTGATGAACTCGTACCCAAAAAAGATGCATGTGAGACCCTACCATCCAAAGAATGTCCACACAAAACCTATAAACCTCATAGAATCGAGAGATAAAGGCCTTTCATGAATATCTGCCTCTCAAAGTGAGAGATATTAATGCTTAAAGAAAAAAAAGAGAGTAATTATTAACAGCATTGTCAAAAAAAAAAACTATTGAGAGAGAGAAACAATCACAGAGAGATGAACACTTAAGGCAAAGAGAAACAATCAGTGAGAGTGTGAGATTCAGTTATTGAGCCCAAGAACGTTACATGCCTTGATTATGGTTGGGGAACCGACCACTTTTAAAACTCCTCCCTCTTTCTTTCTCTCTAATGCCGCTGTTGTTGATCGTGAACCCCATTTCATAGCAAGTGTCCACCCTTTAACTCTGGCTTAGTAGTATAGCATAGATATAAATATAGATATCATGTCTTTTTAACCTACTAGTTGGATTACGTACGTTGCATGTAGAAATAAAATAAGCGATCACGTTTAATAATGTAGCATAGATATAAATATAGACAACATGCCTTTTTAACCTGCTAGTTGGATTACGTATATTGCATGTAGAAATAAACTAAGTGATCACGTAAAAAATAATGTAAATATGCATGGAGAGTATATAGAAACATAATTAGCATTCACGTGAACGATCACACGAACCTTGCAATATTTCAATGCTACCATTATTAGCATTTCGAAAGCTCAACTCTATTTTGTAATGGTGAGGTTCATATAAAACATCCTCTTTATACAATAAAAGTACAATGCACCTCTAAATTTTATCACGATGTGTAGTTTCATTTTTTAAAAATCTTATAGCTTGAAAATCTATTTTTCAAAATATAAAAAAGGGATAGATCGAGCATATTTAAAAACACTTGAAAATAAACAATTCAGATAGCTCGTTATGTAATGTATTATTTTTGAGATTTAGTTTTTTTTCTTCATATTCATGCATCTAAATGTCAAAATAATTAATTGGAGGGTCTTAATAGTGCAACACTCTCTTCTAGAAGATTCTTTTTGGTGCACTGCACTTTTAATAGTATAAAGCAGCAACCTTATATAAACTTTTGCCTTTTGTGGTGCGCCTCAAAACATTAACGGACGGTCCTGATTATCTAAAATCAATGGAGCCTTCTTTTATTAGCCGTTAGGTGAGAGATGTTCCGGTCACCGTTCCTTCTGAAACGCCTCGCACGTGTGTCAGAGTAACAGTAACGACGAGTCAGTACCCAATACCAACTCTGAAGTCACTCCTGAATTTCATTGTAATATCGGGAGTACCCTTACGGTCGCGGCGCCCGCCAAATCAGTTATAGAGAGAGAGAGAACCACCCTGTCAAAGCTTGTTTTAGAGAGAGAATCGCTTGTTTTAGAGAGAATAGCTTTAGCTTGTCTTAGAGAGAGCAAAGACGCGATAAATTAGAGAGAGTTATTGCTTCATACATTGTTTTTGACAGAGACGCGCCATAAAATCTGCGTTCACTGGTTTTTATTCATTTTCCCTCTCTATAATAAGGAAGAAATTCGCACTAATCTCACTGCTGAAGAGCCTTTCTCTGTCTCTCTCTGCTTGGAAACCCTAAGAAGAATCCGTGGTAAGTTCACTGTATATATCTTTTTACTTTGTTCTTACTTTTTTTCATTTTTTTATTGGAGTACATCTCTCAAAATGATTCATTTTTCAATTTATCTGCTGAATTGTGCTTGGTTTGATGGGGCCCCAAAATTTGAAGACTCAAATCATTTGCTCAATTGCACTGGCTTTGATGCTCTTGATGATTTTCACTATTGTTTTCTACATAAATTCGCGTTTATTTTATGAATGAGAGAGAGAGAGAGAGAGCGGGGGAGCCTTGATGGTTTTGTTTTTAAAGTGTATTTTGTTTTGTGGTTCACGTGTTGGAGTGAGCAGGTTTAGACTGCATCCAGGAATGGTGAGTTAATTTTAGGTTAAGTTGTTGCACCTTAGAGAGAAGATGAATTTTTGCACTTTTCGTGGATGAATAGATTGCCAGTTTGGTTTAAAATTTAAATTTTACTGTATCTTTTATGAAATTAATCTTGGATGATTTGCATGTGAAATTGTTTGGATAGAAATTAGGTTCAGAAAACACAAAAAAGTAAAAATATGAATCAAAATACTGGAAGCTTATTTTGTAGTTGATCTCTCTCTACGGTTATATCTTTTGAGATTCGTTTTCCTCAAATAAAATCTCTTTTGAGTCTCAAACATTTGGAATCCTTTACATATTATGCATCAAATCTGATGCTTTTGGAATCCTTTACATATTATGCATCAAATCTGATGCTTTTGAGTTTAAATCTTAAGTATTTCACATAGATGAAAATGGTTGATATCAATAAGCATATTGGGTGTTAAGTTTCTTACAAAAAGCTTGCCTTGCAACAAATAAATCCTCCTGTAGGATATGGGCTTGGTCTTGACTGGTTAAGATGTGGACGATTTTAACACTATGTCCCTAGCTCAAATCCTACCACTAACCCCCTTTAATTGGAGCATGTATCACTGTAACCTCCTAGGGTTATATCGAGATTGAAGTTCAACTATGTTGACGTTCTCTTGTACATCTGTGTTGAGATCAATTGAGTGTTGTATGGATATTTCTGGATATGCATGTTGCATGATACTTATGTGCATGAATAAAGCATGATATATCTGTTTAATGCATTTTTTCAGTTCTTTTTAGGGACTTTTAAAGAATTATTGGTTTCTGAACTTATCTTTTTTACTGTGCATTTGAGTTTTTATAGGTGCTGAATTTAGTTTGCTCATAACTTGTGTGGATACTCGATAGGGTTATGAAAAGTGTCATCAATAAAATTTTGTGGACTCTTTAAACATCGTTGTTTGACTTTGAAGTAATGCAACTTCAAAGATGAATGAAAAGGAGGGAGAATACAAGGAATTAGAAGATTCTGTAACTCGCGAAGAACAAAAGGAATTAGGGAACTCTAAAATTGATGAAGGACAGAAGGAAATAGAAGAGTATGAAAACGGCAATGAGCGAAAGGAACTAGAAGACCATGAAGATGGCAAAGAAGAAAATGAATTTGATGATGGTGAAGGAGCTAACGATTTAGAAGGCTATGATATTGGCAGAAAACAGCAAGAACTAAGGGACTATAAAATTATCGATGGACACAAGCAATTGGAAGGCAATGAAAACGGCAACGGATGGAAGCAGTCAGATGACTCTACAATTGACAAAGAACAAAAGGATGTAGAAGACTCTGAAATCGTCAACGAAGAAGAGGAATTAGAAGACTTAGAAAATGGCAAAGAACATGAGGAACTGGAGGACTCTGAAATTGGGACTGACTCATTTGTTGAAGATTCTGATGACGATGAACCATTTATCTCTGAAAATGAAAGTGATTTGGATGTTGAGGTATAAATGCCCATGAATTTATGGAATAATTTCTTTTAGCCAATAAATTCTGACCCGATAAAACTTCAAAATAGTATATTTTTTGGCAGATTGTACATATCAAAAGAAAACCTGTCTTTTCCATCTTTTAGAGTAGGGTCTCCACATGTGAGGCCCTTCATTAATTAGGACCCATTAACCGCTTTAATTTGAGTTTCGGTTGAAAACCATGTATGTTAAGGAAGGGATTTTACTAAAACGCTCCGATATTTTCTCTTGGATTGTTCATAGGGGATTCGAACCTGGGAAACAGTGTTGCAATAGTTGATGTTGGAATAAATTAAGAGATGAGATTAAGTACATGATGATTAATTATTATTTGAATGATACTTATATATATATATAATTATGTATATAATTAAAAAGTCATTTATAGTAGAGAAATGTCCATTTGTTATTATATTTTTTCCAGAAAAGGAAAACCCAAGTCACTAATTTTGGAAAGTGTCCAAATGAAACCCTAATATGCAAACTTTAAGCTCTTTTAATAATTATATAACAATCGGTACATGGACAGATGTATTTTTACCATGTACTTTGGGGAAGCCAATGCAGAAACTGATTGCATTGGCAAATTTGTGGTATGGTTCAAGTTTGTTTTTTTCTTGGAAGGGATTGTCGAGATGGTACCTTGACATTCTCTGGCCATTCTGCTCCTTTTGGACTTCCCAAAATTTTTTAATACAATTTTACTTGTTAAAATTCAAATAAAGAGGGCCATTTAAAATTTAAATATATCAATATGAGCAGGACATTTTAAAGAAAAGCCATTCTATAATGGGTGTAGTATTAAAAATTTTATTTTTGCAAAAGGTGCCTTTTTGCAGTTAATGTTTCTTCCCTGAAATATGATGGGCCTCACATAAGGTGGCCCCTGCAGGAACAAGGAAAACATTGGTTTTATTTTGAGATTATACTGTGTCAAAATATTTTCATTTTAAAATTTTCTCATAATTTTCCATTATTAGTAGGGGGAAGTATTCCATGCATCGGTGGTATCTGTAAACATTTGATAGGCCAAAAAGACATGCTCCTTTATTGTTAAAAACTACCACAATGCTTGTCTGTTACAGTCAAAGGCAATTTTGGATTGCGTATCACCAATTGCACTTATTGCTTTAAGCTTGAAGCTGGTTGTGGAAAGTACTTTATTGGTTGCAATGATAATCTGATATAGTAGTTACATTTTGGAACCTAACATGTGTACCAAGTTATGATTTTCGGCTGTTCTATATTTTCTTACTACAAGTCATTACCGTATTAATTTAATGTCAGAACAGCTGGAAAATCATAAGTAGGTGAACATGTTAAATTAAAAAATGTAATTATACTCCATATTATTATTGCAGCCCTTGTAGGATATTTTCCTTTATACAACTTATTATAAGAGTATGCTTACTTTTTTCAATTTCTCTGGGGTTGCTTCATGTGTGATCTACATGAAGGCTGGCTGGGGGGCCATACTGATATCTGTTGATTAATTCTTTGCTAGGCACCTTTGACCGATGCAGAAATTGAGGAGCTGATTAATGAATTTCTGGAAGTTGAGAGTAAGGTATTATATTTTTGTCTATATCCTTTATATTTTTGTCTATATCCTTTCTTTCTATTTTGCTTGTTAGGTTGAGAAATGTATTTCTTTACGTGATATTTAGGCAGCAGAGGCTCAGGAATCACTTGAAAAGGAGTCACTCGCTCAAGTAGAAAATGAAGTCAGGTTTGAGTTGTCCGAAAAGTTTCGTGGAGATGATGTGAGTTTTTTAGCTCTTTCAAGCTTGCTGCTAAGTGACATTTGGTGCATACTGAAGACCCTCTGTCATTTATGCATTTGTTATTCCATATGCAGTTGGAAAAGGCTGTCTCAGATGAAATGGAGACATACAAGGGAGAGTGGGAGAGACTGCTTGATGACTTGGAGACACAGAGTGCCCTTTTATTGGTATGCTTCCTTCTTCTCTATATTGGTTCCTCTGTTATCTTTTGCTTTTACTTGGTGTTTCCATCTTATATTTAAACATAGCCATATGCAAGCATTTAGTTGTGTTTGTACATGTGAGCATCGATGATTAGTAGAAAATAATGTTTGAAATAATAATTTAGTAAATCCAGAAAGCTCCTTGCATTGATTATCTTAAGCTTGAGACATGCATATGAGATGATGGTGGTGTGCAATTTAAAATAAGACTGTAAATCGATGAAAAGTGCTCAAGGGTAGAGATTGATTGTAGCTCAAGGGTATTCCTCCATTAAAAAATGTTAATTCTTAAAGATGCTACCGCTATTCTTTATTATGCTAATATGACATTCAACAAAATTTTGTAATATGCTGTAACTTATGGGCAAAGGATACTATCTGACATATGAAATCATGCTACGTAAAAAAAAAAGACATGTGTAATCATGCTTTGGCTAAAAATTATGTTATGAACATTTATTGATTGTTATGATCATGAATGACAGGAACAACTTGATGGCGCGGGTGTTGAGTTACCTAGTCTTTATAAATGGGTTGAAAGTCAGGCCCCTGAAGGTTGCAGCACAGAAGCTTGGAGAAAAAGAATTCAGTGGGCAGGTTCTCAACTAACTAATGAGATTGCTGAGTCAATTTCAGGTGCTGAAAATTATCTGCAGGCTTGTCGACCTGTAAGAAGGTACTCTATTGTTCCCATGAGTTTTTGTTTCTTGTGTAGTTACTTAGTGAAAGAACCTTGTTCCTATATTAAATACTTGTTCTTGGAACAGGCATCATGGCAAATTATTGGAGGAAGGTGCAAGTGGGTTTCTCTCAAGAAAACTGGCAACCAATGACAATAAAGATTCCCTGAACGAAAATGCCGAGAAGGATTGGAACTCAGTTAACGAGATTCTCCATTCTCATAATCTTCCAGGGGAAAGTAATTCCTTTGGTAGCAAGAGTTATGCTTCTGTATATTTGGCCAGTACTCCTTTGCAGGCAGCAAATATGGGGCTCAATTTTCCTGGAGTTGATGAGGTATCATTGGTCAGTCTGCAATTGGTCATTCTGCAATTTGTTATTCTTTTATTCCCTACCTTTGGTTCGTATACATGTTTGTTTCTTGCACTGCAAACGGTTGCCATAGCATTAGATTATTTACTTTCACATGTTCATGCCGGCTAGCTTTGGAAATTGCAATGTGATTATATATATTTATGATAAAAAACTAGTCTTTCACTTTGACACTGGTTGACTCATGGTCTGTTAACTTCTTTTAGCAGCTTTCGACCGAAATATTTGCAGAGAATATTTTTCTTTTAAAAACAAGGAAAAAGTTTATATGGGGCGTCAACCTTATAAAACGAATGCTTGGGCACCAAACATCTTTGTTAATGTTCTCTGTTCTATCTGCCCTCTTTTAATGTGGTATTTCCATTGTGGAAGCACTATTTAACACTTATTTGGTTAGTGTTGTGTATAGACAACACTGTGCTCTTATCATTTTTTTTATGTGACACTATGCATAGAGGGCCTGAAGATAAAATCACCACCTCCAAAGTTTGGCTGAATTAAGTAAAAAAAAGAAGTCTAAAGTTCTTTTGTTGACTGGCATTACCATCCAAATGTCCATAAGGGAAAGATATGGTTCAATAATTTCAATTTAACCACCTATACCAGCAATGTCATCTGCTCAACCATCAAACCTCTATTTGTACTTTCCCATCATTGGACTATTTTTTATGGTCTGCAATTTCATCTCCATCCTAAGTTTTGGTTTACTACCATTTGTTGGATTTTCTATCGTCTAGACTTGTGTGTGGTACTACACCTAAAGCATTTGGCACACCTTTTATAATTGTTCATGATTGTTGAGGATTAGTTTGCGATAAACTATAACATCTCATTTGGTGCTCTTTAAGTCATGATTGCATTATGTCATTGCATTTCATACGTATTTCTTTTTTATTTTCTTTTTGGCTTTCATATGGTAGTTATGTTTTTTTGTATTCTCTTCATTTAAGTCATATGTCTTGCTGCTTTTGCACATACCTTGTTTTGTTCCTGGAGATTCTTGGGATCTGCTGGTTATAACTAATTTACGTCAGGTGGAGGAAATAGATGACATTGAGAACTGCTCCAGAGATCCTTTTTATGCAGATGCAGTGGCCAATGAAGATGAAACAGGTCTTACTGATGAGCAAAAGAAGAAGATTAGGAAGGTGTGTATTAAAGCATTTGCAAAGGTCTACAATAACTTTTTCCCCTTTTTGTTCTATATATTTTTCGTAGTTGTTGACCAGAAATTGTACGTTAATGCCAACTTCAAACAAAATGCACCTTGTATGGTGATTCTCAAATACAATTGCACCTTATATGGTGGTTGTTCCATGCACTTCTAATGGATCCCTGATTTTTTTGGCACTTCCTTGGTTTGCACATGAATTCACCATATCTTTCTCTGATAGTGATGTGTTCTCGATAGATGGTATCCTTGTCATTGTTGGCTCCCATCGTACTGCCATCATTTCCTGCTGACTGCATATCACTTTTACAGTTGTTACCCTGTGTTGCTTGTAGTCACTTTTACACCTGACCCAGTCTCTAAATGAGGCCTCCCAACCAGAGAATCCATGACATATTTCTGGGTTAAGCCCCAAGGAGAATGTGCATTATGAAGCACTTTACCCAGCATGTAGGAGGTGCTCTAGGAGGGTCGAATGTGAGCAGAGAGCGGAGAAATCTCCTTCTCTGATGCACTGAAACACAGATACGCATGTATAATATATTAAGCACGTAGCTCTGTTGATATTATTCTTGGAAACCTTTGCAATCAACATGCCTTCTTTTTCTTTCTTCCCTTCTTCTTTGGCTGTACATAGTTTAATTGGATGGCAGCCACGTACTGTTGACTTAATTGCCTCTCACTTATTGGTGGAGGTTAAGTTTTATGGTAGCCTCTAGCCTTCTCTTTCTCTCTTTTATACACGCTCTCTGCCTATCCCCCTGACCACGTAGAGCATGTGCTATAGGGGAAGACGGAACTAGGTTCAGATGATTTATGGCTGGTGGTTTCAAGTAACATTTACAGTGAAATATGCGTAATTTTGAAAATCAACTGTCGTATTCAATTAGTTGGAACTGTTTGTTTTTAGTTTTTTGTTTTCTTATAGACATTCCTTTACTTTTCTCATGAAAATTCCTCTTGTAAATATTCTCATAAACATACTTCCTTGTAATATTCATGATAATATGACAACTAAAAATAGAGAAATTCATACTATATTTCTCATGTGACTTAACTTTTGCTGAAGTAAAATAGTTTTTACAGTTGTTTACTACCTGAGTTGGTTACTTCTTGTGCATTTCTCATGCAGTTGTGATTGTCAGGGAGTTACCCTAGACTATGAATGTTTTAATTCTTTCATTCTCTTGTTTAGGTTAAAGAAGAGGAAGATGCAATCTTCACCTTAAGGCTGCAAAATCGTCTGAAACAGAGACGGCATAGAACTCATAAAACAAATCAGGTGGAGTACTGTGAGTTGCTACTTGTAAAGGTTCCCATTCGGTACTATTTTTCGCTCACGGTCATTGGCATATTGTTGTGGGAGTTCTTTTCCTGTTTGATGCATTCCTTGTTCTCATAGGATACTTGTACATTAAAATTCATATAACCCAGCAGGAAACACTTATCAGATTGGTTTGAGTTGCTTGAAATGCATTCTCACATAAATACACAACTGAATAAATAAACAAAATGTATTTAATTCCAATGTAATTTGGCTCTTTGGTTGACTTATTCTTTTTTTTGTTTTTGGTTGGGACCAGGACACTCTGCTTAAAGAGACTGGGTCAGGTGTTCACAATGATTTCAGGGTGTGTGTCCCCTCTGGGGAATGTTCCGCGAAGGATACTGGTAGGTAACATTTTTTTTTATGATATTCATAAAGAACTAAAAATGACATGATTTAATGTTTCTGATCAAATCTGATGGCAGTGAGGGTTGCTGATTTTGCAGATTCTGCTGAGCTCCATGGGGAAAAGATGGCGGTTGAAGGTGTTCCTTCAGTGTCTGCAATTCCTGCCTCTATTTTGTCCAAACGTTCCCATGATAGTGGAAACCATGAAATTGACACTAAAAGAAGTCGAACTGTAATAATAGATAGTGATGATGAAATGGATGTCGTGGAGCAAACAACATCCACTAATGTGTTGAATCCTAGCATCAATCCATCAAAGGTTTCTGAACATTATCGCTGCAGTGCCTGTTCTGACATCCTAAATGCTTCTAAAGTATGCAGACATCCCCTCTTGGGAGTCATTATTTGTGAAAATTGCAAACTTGTTATAAATAGGAGATCACCTCGAAAGGTACATATATCTTAACTAATTTTCTTCTTGAATGACTGATTTATTGAGTTTCTTCTTTAGTTTTTCTTTTGTTAAGTGCATAATGTGTTTGGTGGTTCAGGACCCAGATTGCTCTGAATGTTACTGCGGATGGTGTGGAAAGGTAGATGACTTAATTGGCTGTAGATTATGTGCAATGCTGTTCTGTGCAAGATGTATAGGTCGGAATTTCAGCAAAGAAAAACTGGAGAGAGTGCGGTCTTGTGGTTGGGAGTGTTGTTGCTGTGCCCCCGACCAGTTAGAACAGCTCGTCTTGGAATGTGACAATGCATTGAGGGTAAGCGACAATGTCGCTTCCTCCTCTGGTAGCGACTCAGACTTACCTCAAAGTGTTGTCGATATTCAACTCAGGTACAAGTCATATTTGAGTTTTGCTTGAAGCACAAAACTTTCTGTTCACTGCTTCTTGTAATGGATCAGGAGTGTAACACAATGTACATGACCAGGGCTTGATGATGATTGATTCTTGGGATTTTTTTGTATATTCTGTTCCAAAATATGAATTTAATTTGTTAGCATTTGTTTGTTTTGAACTTTCAATTATTGTATTAAGTTTTTTTGATGTTTCAGCTAGAATGGATTCTTAACTTTATAAACAATGAATTGATGATACAACTGATTTTTTTAGAAGCAATTGTTTTGTTTATAGTTTTATGTTGCTGGCTTCTATATGTTGATTAACATTGTAGTGAACTCCCTTAGCTGAAGTCATCTGTTTCCTTTTGGCGTCCAGCTATAAGAAAAAACTGAAAAAATGGACAAGAAGGATACTTGATGATACTGAACTTGGAGAAGAAACAAAACAAAAAATTGCAATCGAAAAGGTTTGTTTGATAATTAGTTGAAGCTTATGTTTCCTCGAACTATTATACGACTTTCTGTATGATTTGTGATGCCTTCTTTCTCATGACTACAATTCTGATAGGAACGCCAAGAACATCTTAAGTCATTGCAAGAACAGTTTGCTTTTAAAACATTGGGTAAGAGTGCTGCAACTTGCAATGGTAATGCGGCAGACTTTGCTGGTGAAAAAGTCCTGGGTGATGCAGTAAAGGGTTTTATAATGAATGTGGTCAGAGAGGAAAATGAGGAACCTGTGAGGGTACCCCCGAGTATATCTGCACACTTGAAGCCTCATCAGGTATCTCCTATACATTTTTTTTGAGGGACAAAAAAGATTTTCTTTATAATGGTATCGCCTGTACATTGTCAATTGAGAAATGATTAACACTGTTTAGTTTCTACAGTTGATGTGTAATTGTATTATTATTACCTTCTCTTGTTCCTTCATTGACTTGAGCATAGATATTCTATTTTCTGAATATTTTGATTGTTGAACTCTTTCTATTGTTCGCTGAATACTGTCCCAGTTTTCTTGTTAGGAGAGGCGTCTTATTATTTTTCTGTTGATTGATGGTGCTAGTTATTTTGGATGTACTCTAATTGGAAGATCATGCATTATACGTATGTTATGAGTATCTACCTGAGATGAGATCAGTTGTTGTCATGTTTGAAGAACTGCATTGTGTTTGTTATTTTGTGGATCTCAATAGTTCTGTCAAAAAATTTCTTATGATAAAGTTTGTCCATTTGAGTGCAGATTGGAGGGTTACGATTTATGTGGGAAAACTGCATACAATCTGTCAAAAAGATAAAGTCTGGAGATAAAGGCCTTGGTTGCATTCTAGCTCACACTATGGGTCTAGGGAAGACTTTCCAGGTTTGCTGTCTATTTGTTAGTTTGCTGCATAATTGTTTATGTCCTTTTTTTTCCTGCACTTGTTCTAACATTACTTAAGCATGCTTATCCTGAAAGTTCCCTGGTGATTATCTGTGAGAGAACATCTTCCACAATGCTTGTATTGTTCTTTAGCTATGTATTTTGAATTGAAGTTCATTTAGGTAACTTGGGCTTCTACTTGTGTACTTCTGTCCATTTTTAACTCCATTCTTTAGTGCCTCTTGTTCTTCATGTTGTCACATATAAGGTCATGGGGTTTCAAAGGTTAACTATGATAAAAAATATTTTTATCCAAGAAATGTAAAGCGAAGGTACCCTAGAAATTTGCACTGATGACCACAAAGATCATATTTAAGCACGAATACTTTTTAACCATTTAGAGCAATATCATGCCTGGGGTTGGTAACATTTTACAATACATGTCTCAGCTTTATATACAGGTTTCTATTTATACTTGCGCACCATTAGCATTCCTTTTAGGAATTTTTAAGTATTCTTTGTGTGGAGTTATTGGGACCTAGAACAGCTGCTTGTAAATCTACTCTTTCCCCACACAATATACTAGGAACTAGGTTTAAGTCAAAGATCTCCATTACCACTAAGTTTCAGCTCAAACCCTCTACAGAAATTTAACTTCGCTTCCTTACTAGATTATGTGAATGCACTCGTATATAGTTTAGGTTGGACCTCTACTTCTATATTGCTGAAGAATGTGCGCATGCATTCTACCATTATAATATGACCTGCCCTTTTTAAATTGGGAAATTCATCAAAATACTCATAAGAGATGGATGTATTTAGTATTTTTCCCATTTACTAGATTATGTGAATGCACTTGCATATAGTTTAGGTTGGACCTCTACTTCTATATTGCTGAAAAATGTGCGCATGCATTCTACCATTATAATATGACCTGTCCTTTTTAAATTGGGAAATTCATCAAAATACTCATAAGAGATGGATGTATTCATTCAGCATTTTGCCCATTTGCTACTGTTCCAACTCAAGGCCATGTGTTTTTTTATGGGTATTTTGAACTGAAATCAAAAGATATGGGTGAAGTGTTGAATAGTAACAGAATCCATTATCCTTTTACAATTTGTTTGTTTGTTGGATATAGGAACATGTAATTGATGGGTGCCATTGTCTGAACCCTAGTAAGGGATGTACGATTTCAAAATTTGCTTAACTATGTGGCATTCTTCTGATTGCTCCTTTCTTTAGATTCATACATGACCTTAGTGGAAATTTTTTCTTTGTTCCTTCTTTATGAATTTGTGCATATCATGGTTTGGACAAGGAGATGGAAAACACTGAAGCCTTATTCAATATCTGAAACTGCTTATATAATTAGGATTCTGTTTGTCTCAGGATACTTGTCTTGGCATGAGTCTTACAATTATTGTCCCAGTTTGACTGAAAGTGTCTTGTCTTGAGCTGTTTGTTTGTCAAAATAGATGCTGTCTATGGTGATGTGATGGTTCTTGGGCTTTCTTCTGTTGCACTTATAGCTTACTAGTCATTTTTTTTGGTCTCTATTGATTTGAAAATTTCCAAGTTAAAAAAGTCGGCCGCCCAGGCAGCTAGGAGGCCTCACTGCTTCGCCTTGGTCTGTATCTGCCTGAGCGGCTGGGAGGCATTACCCTCCTGCCCTGGGCCTATACAGCCCAATGTGGGACTGGCCATGGGTGGCCAAGTAATTGCCCAGGGCTTCGCTTGGGCCGGCATTGGGCTCTTTTGGCGAAGCCTGAAATGGGCCTTACCAAAAGGGTAAAATTGTTGTTTTTCCCCCTTGAAAAGGAGGGAAATTGTACTTGGAGGGCATTTTGGCCCCAAAACCCAAGAAAACTTGATTTATGCCACAAAAACTATTTTTTTTATTGTTTCATATTTTCGTGAATATTGTGTTATGTTATACTTTTTTTTATCATTTTCTTGTATTTGTTCTTGAAGTTTGCTTTACATTTATGATGAAAATTCATGAGTATTTTGTTTTAAGGTTTCCTATTTTAGTGATGATGATATATTTTTGGCTATATTTCTAATTTAAAATGCAAATTTTAAAATTTATCATATATTTCTGGCTATGTTTCTAAATTATAATGCAATTAAAATTTATCATATATTTCTCCCTAGGTTTCTAATTTATAATGCAAATTTGAAAATATTACTCTTTGTTTGGCTGTAAATAGAGTAATGTTCAAATTTATAGCCAAACCTACTATAATATTTCAAAATTTATTGCCAAACATAGAGTAATATTTCAATTTTTTTCAAAATATGTAATATATTTCAAACACCCTCCTTCCTTTCTTTTTGCACAGTGCCGCCCACCTCAGGCGGCCCCCCAACCGCCCCAGCGATTGGGACCCCCTACCTCCATTGTCTTCTTGAACATTAGAAATTTGTTAGTAGTATCAGTGAGTTGGAAGAAACTTCCTAACAATATCACGAGAAAAGGATTTCATATATCATCGTAAGCATCATGAGCATGCAGTTTATTGTTCAATTCCTCCATTATTTGCTTTTACTGTTTGATGCAAACTTTTTTATTTTATGTTGGGCATGGAGTTTGAGAGACCAGCTGGTATGGAAGTTAACTTGTTTATTTAAATTAGTATTGCATAATAGTGAATTATTCTCCATAGTGGATTAAATGAAAAATTTTGAATTTCAAAATTGTTCGATTTTCTCGTTTATATTGTTGGACATTTGAAATTTCTTTGTGCAGGTCATTGCCTTTCTTTATACAACAATGAGGAGCATTGATCTGGGATTGAGAACGGCACTGATAGTCACTCCAGTAAATGTGTTACACAACTGGCGTCAAGAGTTCATTAAGTGGAGGCCAACAGAACTAAAGCCTTTAAGTGTATTTATGCTGGAGGATGTTTCTAGGTTTTCTTTCTTTTCTTGAAATTTTTATACCAGTAGCTCCTTATCTTGACCCAGAGTTCTGCCAGAAAAAAGCTTCTTAGATTGCTAAACATTTGCCATGGATCTCAGAATGTTTTTCAATTTCCACAGGCATGGATTGTACTTTAGTGATTTGTAGGAAGACCATCATCTTATTCTTCCTGTACTATTTGTAGTTTTCTATTTCTCATTTATAATCTTTAGATATTCAATTCTGATTCAAAGATTCTTGTGTTGGCAAATGAAATACACTGTAACCATGTTGGTTCTGTAGTGTACAGAAACACCTGACATCTTTTTCTTGTCAGGGATTACTCCCAAAGAGCTAGGCTCTTAGCGAAATGGAGAAGGAAAGGTGGTGTATTGTTGATTGGTTATGCTGCTTTTCGGAACTTATCTTTTGGAAAGAATGTCAGGGACCGGAATGTCGCTTTTGAGATATCTCATGCATTGCAGGTATAGTTTGTAGTTCCTGAATGCTGATACCGTTCTTTGTCCTGTGTGTATGCTCAGTTTTACTGTGTTCAATAGTTTCTTGCATCCTTGTTCTTCATCTGTGTGCTCATTTTTTTGTGGTGTTAAATTTTTCCTTTCCTTGTTATTACTTTATGAATAGGGCAGGGAAGTCCACAAATGTTACTAGTGAGGTAGGGAGAGAGGAAGAGGAAAATTGAGTCCAGAAAATGTGTGTAATGAAAAAGCAGGACATCAGAATAAGGGAGTCAACTCTGAGATTAGTTTCTGCGACTCATGAATTTCTTACAGATGTGCTCCAAATGAATGAAAGGGAGTGTGGATAGGGACTGGTGCTCGTTTAGAAGTTATCTCGTTATTGTCAGGAGTATGGTTGTCTTTTAATTTACTAAATAAAACTTTGATATATATGTACAATTCAAGTTCAAAAACGGACTTAACCATTTGGCTTGTAACACATTTATTACAATATAAAAGATGTATTCCATTTTTGTATCATTCATATTGCATAGCACACAATGCTGATACTATAACATAAAATGTATGTCATGGTCCGACATCTTGGAGGGTTTATTTTTATACACACAATAATCATTAGCATGAGAAAGTTGAATCCCCTTCTAAATTTATGGTGTGTAACACTTAAAATAGCCAGGAATTCTAAACTAAAACAGAAAAACCAATATAAAATATGAATAAATTTGGATTACAAAAGTGAGAATGAGAAGTTGAGAATAAGCTAAAGTAATTTAATGATATTTTGAGATGGAGAAACGGAGTGAGAGATCAGAAATAATATGATATGGTATAACAGAAGGTGCTTTAGGGAAGTAGAGAATTTGTTATTGGGGCTTTTGAGGAGTACATTGATCCATTAAGGTTTTCCCTGGATCAATGTTTCCTAAAAGGTATAAGTTTTGGCTTATTATTGAGAAATTACAATAGAAGTAGTGTTATTTCTTGTGATATTTCAGAGAGCGAATTTGACGAGGCTACTTCACGTAGAGGGAGGAAGAAGTCCTTATGTAATGATGTTTTTTCTTCCCAATAATGGAGCTTGAATGTCGATCTCTATTATGAGAATGGCTGTTTGTGTTTCTGCAGGGTTTTCATTCATTACCCAATTAACTGGAGACTTTTACTGTTGATAAATTAGGAAAAAGAAACTACTAAGATAAAAATCTATGCTGTTGCCCCCCAGTGCCCTAACTTCTGAGCCTAGGGCTTGAACCTGAGAGCCATAGATCTTAAATGGGCACTGCTTAAACTTACCACTTACCATCTATGAATCCTTTAAATAAAACAAAAATGTTATTTGAGGTCGTCATTTCCCATTAATTAATCCTTAACCGTTAAGTAATTTGAACTTGCACAGATATAAAATAGGATGTTATCATTTCCTTCCATTTTGAGTCCATGAATAGAAAAGTAATGCAGACTGTAAATGCCGCTAAATTCGTGCATCATAAATGTGCATGGATCAACTGCTTAAAGTTTATTTTTTCCATGAATAAATCCGCAGCCTAGGGTTCACACTTATTTCATGTATGGAGCTTGTGGGGTCCCATCAATCCTTCTGATTTTTGCAGTCCAAACTTTCTTTTAGATACAATTACTTTCCTTAAAAGCTTGAAAGAATAGGAAGACAGCATGATATTATTGGAAAGTCTTTGAAGAGCTGCTCATACAAGTCACTTTGTAATAAAGTGTGGATTTGTGCTAGTTTTTGTATGTGTATATATGTATGTGTATGTGCATGATGTGCATAGATAACAAAATGAAAGTTCAAAATATCTCTTAGAAGTTGGAGTTTATTTTCAAAAATTATTAAACGACGAACACAATGGGAACATAACAGTAGAAGGAACGGTTGGCATAAATTAGGGCGGAGGTCATAGATACATTCGTAGGATTAGGATATTGGAAGTGAAACATAGATACATTCGTAGGATTAGAATATTGGAAGTGAAAGACACTTTGAGAGATGAAGATAGGAAAGGCTTTAGGACTATATGGTTTCCCTGTAGAGGTTTGGAAGTGTATGGGGGAGACCGACATTGTTTGGTTGCAGTGTTTTAAAATGCAGGATGCGGCCGTAGATGTGGCTTGATGCGGTCCGGATGTGGGTGCATCTCCGCAATTCGATCAATAAATATAAAAAATTCTAAAAAAATAGGTTAATGCAAAGAAAAAATATGGAGGTGATATATGTGATAGTAGGTGTTATTTATAAACTCCAAAAGTATCAGCTGTCGCCTGTCGAAGATGATGTATTCACTATCCACTGATAGAAACTAGAAGCTTGAAACTAGCTTCATAAAACTTTCAACAACCATAAGCACAAAATTTACAACCACAAACTTTAAAGTTACAAAATATAAAATAGAAGTCTATGAAGATTAAGGAGTTCAAAAGTCAAGCTCAAGAGTCAATACAATCATCATCATTTCTCAAGTTTTGAGAGTGAGATTCTAAATTTCAAATTCTAATCAGAGAAGTTATCTTGAGAGTCTCCATGTGCATCATCATCACTATCATCCTTGGCGGCCTCCACGTATTCTTTTTCTTCGGTCTTCTCTGAGTCAGCCTCCTCCTCCTCCTCGACCTTTGGAGCTGATGTGCAACTAGACCCAGCTCTACTCCTTTGAGCTCTAGTGTTAGGCCGTTCTTCTTCATTAGCCGCTATAGCTAGCTCGACATCAAGCCAAGTAAGATCCTCACACTCAAACACATGTTCTATTTGTGGATCCATGGTCCACACACTTGTGCACACACCGTCATTTTCATACAATTCAATAGGGTTGAGATCCATGCGCTTTTGATACCTCTCCCTAAGCTCCTCATTATACCGCACATAAACCAAATCATTCAACTTCTTCTGCCCCAACCTATTTCTTTTTTTGGTGTGGAGCTGTGGTAGAAAACAAGGAAACAAGCAAAAGTAAAATATGTTATTTTCTTGTTCCTACTTTTACACTTCTTAGATAAGTTAGATTTCAGAAATTGAAATTGAAATTGAAATCCAAGAAATAAGGATTGATGACTTACATGCTCAAATGCACTCCAATCGCGTTCGCAATCAGATGAACTACATGTGAGACTCAACACACGAATAACGAAACGTTGTAGATTTGATGTCTCGCTTCCATATAATACTCACCATGCAGTTGTATAGATATTTTAGATAAATATTTTATCATTTTTATAAATGGAACTATACATAAACAAGTAAAAAATTGTAAAGCAAACAAAACAAAAATTAGAAAGGGTACTTTTGGCCTTTACCTAGATCTGTAGTGTCCCTTTTTCGGGTAACAATCTCTCTCCCAAAGTTTCCCAAAGCTAACTTGAATTTTTAATCAATTCTTGGCGCTGGATCTCATCTTGAATATCTTTGTCAGGGACCAACCTCTCAAGCACATCTAAGAACCCACCATTTATTACACGATCAGACTCGATGGATGAGTGCTTGTAGTGAAGAGATGGATTTAGAAAGTAACTGGTTGAAAGGAGGTGCCTGTGAAGCTGGTTATCCCGTCTCCTTTCAATAATTTCAAGTATAGCCTTACATTTATTTTCATCATCTGTTAAAAGCCTTTTTTATCTCTCCTCTTGCTTTAGTCATTGCCTCATGTATGTAGCCCATAGCGGGCTTCACATCACCATCAGCCAGTCGAAGCATTCTCACTAAAGGGCCAGATACCTCTGATGCAAGATATATTTGATTCCAAAAAGATGTATTCAAAATTATTTGTTCAGCCTTTCTCCATCTTGGTGCTTTGACCACTTACTTTTGACTCCATGGCTCTGAAGCAAATATCGTCCTCGAGGCATTTTTTGGCTTGCATAGGCTTTGAAGAGTGAGAAATGATATGGAAAATCTAGTGATATCCGGTCTCACTGAGTCTCTTTTCTTTGTAAAAGTTCTGGTCATGCTAAGGATTAGGGTGTGACTATAAATAAATCCAACAACAAACATAGCTTTTGAAATCACCCTACTAAATAAAAATGTTGTACCCATTTCCTTAAGCATGAGATTAACGTAATGAGCTGCGCAAGGAGTCCAAAACCTATGCGCCCTCTTCAAAGTAAAATAATGCCCAGCTACAACGGAATTGGCACCATTATTGGTGACAATTTGTACCACATGTTTCTCTCGAAGAAACTCTACAATCTCATCCATTAAGTCACATAAATATATAGCATCATGTGACTTGTCTGATGCATCAACAAACTTAACAAAAAAAGTACCTGTTGGACAGTTAACCAAAAAATTAATGAATGACCTCGACTTCCCATGGACCATCCATCACACATAATAGTGGCCGCATACTTCTCCCACCCTTCTCTTTGAGAAATCGAAATTTTGTTAACATCATATACAACGTCTTTCAATAAGGGCTCCCTAATCTCATGCAGTGGAGGATTAAGTCCTGGGTCAAATTGCTCAATTGCTTGGACCATACATGCAAAACTATTGAGGGTTATGGTGTTAAAAGGGATGCCGTCCATGTAGAACCACTTTGCAATGTACTCACATACCTTCTTCCTCTCTTCTTTCCTGTGTTGATTTTCAATTGTGGTTTGCTTTGTTTTTTTCCTCCTCTCTTGAACCACAATTTTGTGGTCAGGGGTTAAAAAAGCATCTATTGGCCCTTGAGAGGTTTTTTTTTTCCCAACACTACCACCAATATTTATAATCTCTCTCTTGAGATTGGAGTACCCCTTTGCCTCATTGCAACGTTTGATATGTCCTCCTCCTCTTCCTCCTCCTCATCATCATCAAATATTTGCATTTCATCACTTAATTATTTTCTTTTCATTTTTTCTTCTCTTTTTGTTTTCTAAGCTATCCATGTATTTTATAGTCTCATTTTTTATCTCTTCGGTAGCTTGTGGGCATGCTCTTACATTCTAAAAAATATCGGCTAAGTATTCTTTTTGCCAAAAAATGCTCGACATATAAGTACTTCTATAAAGCA